GGGGGAAAAAGGAGACATATGTAATACCTTCAACAATAAAGAATTATTTTTTTAAAAAAGACCTTTCTCAATTTTTTCACTTTGTACTCTGCCATAAATGTTAGGTGTTACTGGTGTCAATCTCTTAAAAGCTTTTTGTGAGCTTCAAGTTAAACAAAAATTTTAACAGTTTCAGTAGCAACTAGAGCAACAGCAGGGGCTAAACCCTTGTGCTAAGGAAGAACTTTACAAATGTTATTTCATTCAATCCTCACCACAACTTATTATATGGATGAGGAAACAGGATAAATGACTAGTCAAAGGTGACCCAGTTAGCAAGTAGTTGTGCTCATATTCACCACTACCTCCCCTCAATCCCGCCCCTCTTCCCCAGCCTGACTCCAGGGTTCATACTCTTAATCTCTCTATATAACTGTGGACACTTAAAATGATCACTAAAGTCAGAGGCCCATGTGAAATAGAAATAAACTAGTTATCCCAGTTATAAATAGAAGGCAGAGTTACAATCCAACTCAGATACACAGAGCTACATCCTGATTGGTCTCCCAATCAGATCCCAAAGTATTCATCTTCTTCCCAGAGAAAAAAGACACTTTGAGCAAACACATAAAGAACTCCACTCTAGAGAAAAGGAGAAGCATAAAGGGAAGCAATGAAGGCAATGGAAAGTACTAGATGAAACCAAACACTTAAAAGGTAAATTTAGGATATCCTTATATATGTGTACAATATCCTTGATCTTTTCATAAGCAGGACTTAAACATACATTTTTCTTTGACCCTCAAAAAATTAACACATAAATATTGAGACTGCAAGCATCAAGTATAAACTGGTCCTTATAAATAGTAATGTTCACTCAAACCGATGCAGTTCACAAAGTACCTTCACATATAACATCTCATTGAATACTACTGCCCTGTTAGGTAGTGAGAGCGATTTACGAACCCCTTTGTACGGATGTTGAACGAGGGGCTTGCCTTCTACCATTTGTGACTGATAGAGCCTCCAACTCCTGTCATGTGGCCCCAAATTCCAGGCTCCCTCCACACCACATTGTGCCTCCTCATTCCACATCAAAAGGTCACAAACTATCCTGCCTGCCCCATTTGCACAAGTTCATTACCAATATTGTAAAAACAAGTATCAGCTAATAATGACACCACAAGAACCAAGGGGAGAGAAGACAAACTTGGAATTTTCTCTGAGAGGCTGGTACTCTGCTTAGCTCCCAACCTAAGCTTTGCCTAATGTGGTTCCTACAACAGCCCTTCAGGCAGGTGCTGGTGTTCCCATTGCATAGATCAGGAAATAGACACAGGGGCTCAGCAACTTAAGGTCACACATTAAGTGACGAAGCAGTGATTTTAACCATGTCACTATGCTATCTACACTGCCTTACACAATATCACAGTAATACCTTTTTCTGATCAACAATAAAAAATATTTCAGGTTAAAATATTTTAATGTTTTAAAATGTCAGAAAGAAAAAAAGTACTCTGCCAATTGTTGCTGTCACACTATCTTCCCAGCAGAGTGCCTTTTCTCCTTCCTGATTTCTCCAGTTTACTCTTAATATCTACTGGCTTCATTGTACCCTGGAAGGAGAGCTAACTGTTAGAACAAAAAGCAATGACATATCCTTAACAAACAGCATTTTATAAAGCCACGGGAATCATGCAAATATTACTTTGTCCTAGGTCTAATTTAATTCTATAAAATAGTATGTCAGTTACAAGAATTGTGAGCCTGCCTAAACACGGAGGAAATGAGAACAATGAACAAACTCTGAACAATCATTTTAATCATCACTTTCTGAGGGCTTTAGCCAATCCAGACAAGATATAAGTACAAAATGCATTAAAAAGAATCTCATTACCATCCTAGAGTCTGGCCTCCCACCCACCTTATCCTGAAGCATTAGGGATCAACAGCATTAACCTCAAAACACTGTGCACCTCCCCTCAGGTGCTACACTGCTAAAGGACAGTGATAGATAAAATGTAAACATGACACCATAAATAGTTTTAAACATGGAAAGATTCCTGATAGACTCCCCAGAACAAAATTTAAGTAGCTTTAACAAGTTAAGCTGTATTTATGATTCCCAAAGGCGGCTTCCTTATCTGAAGCAAACAGGAGGAACATTCTGTCAGCATAAGTTGTACTCATAATGAAGCTGAATAGCTTAACAGGCTTTTAAGGAAAATTCTATGTTCTGGGAACAAATAAGAAAAGCTAAAGTCTATCTGAGCTAAACTGGAGGAGTGGGTGGAAAAGCCAGCCGGAAGGACTAAAAACAGGGCAGGAGTAGATAAAAAGGAAACAGGAAGAACTGGGCTAAAGGAAGTATGAGGCTTAGGGGCAAAGACGGCTAGGCCAGGGGCAGCTCTGACCTTAAAAAGCAAGAAACCAGTGCCTAACAGTGGTTCTCAACCTTCCTAATGCCACGACCCTTCAATACAGTTCCTCATGTTGTGGTGACCCCCAACCATAACATTATTTTCGTAGCTTCTTCATAACTGTAATTTTGCTACTGTTATGAATCGTAATGTAAATATCTGATATGCAGGATGTATTTTCATTGTCACAAACTGAACATAATTAAAGCATACTGATTAATCACAAAAACAATATGTAATTATAAGTGTTTTTCCGATGGTCTTAGGCGACCCCTGTGAAAGGGTCTTCGACCCACAGGTTGAGAACCACTGGCCTAGAACCAAAGGACTAAAATCAAGATAAAGGGAATGAACTGGCCAAGACTAGAGAACATGGAGTTCATTTGAGACGTAGAGGAAGGTCCTCAACAAGGGTAACTATAACTGTAGAGAATAGAGGCAACTTTTTAGTGCTTTTTAAAAAGTGTTAACTTTAAATGGGTGAACTGTATGGCATGTGAATGATGTCTTAATAAATCTGGTATATGTCTTTTTAACATTTATTGATTTTAAAGAGGGAGGGAGGGGCAGAGAGGGAGGAGACATGGATTGTTGTTGCACTCACTGGCTGATTTTGCATGTGCCCTCCCAGCGAGTCTCCCTGTGTCTGGGACACCTGTGTTGGAACACATCAGTCTGGAAAGGTGACAGAACTACAGAGGAAGGCATAGGGGGAAACGGGCAGGTTTTAAAGAGGCCTCCCCCATTCTGCCTTTGGGATTTGGGGCCCTGGGGGGCGGGAGGAGAAGGCTTTTTTTCGGGGGTATGCCTTGAAGTAGACTATCCGGTTTCTCCCGGGGGTGATCTGGGGCCAACATCTGCCTGGTCAATGAGACAACGATCTGGGGTGGAAAAGTCAAGTCAGCTCTAGAGAAACCCCAGAAGGCTCATCGTGAAGTGATCACAGGGCTTATCTCTGCTCCCCCACACTGGACTGCACGCCCCGCGTCACTTCGCCTGCTCATCGTGAAGACAGGCCCACGCTGTGCCCTCATCCCGGGCGCCTATGGCCAGCTGCCCACTGACGTAAATTAGAAAATCACTCCGGACCGGCCTGGGGGAGGCGAAGCGCCACGTCCAGCCGGCCTGCGGCCCACGGGCCTCTCAATATAGGCACAGGGCCCTGAGCCGGGTTTCGGGGAGCCGCCCCCCGGGCATCCCATCCCCACTCGCCAGCCTCCGGTCGCGACCCCTGGGAGGAGGTGCACATCCTTCGCCCCTGAAGGCGTAGGTCATCATAGTTCAGTGGTCCCTTTTATCTGCTTTGAAAAGATGGGTAAAAGCACAGACAGAGGATCTGTTAGGATCAAAATGAAACTTTGACATAGAATCAATTCTGCATTCTACACTATTGTCAACTAAAACAAGTAAGAAGCATTGGCCCCCGGACACCGAAAGACTGGAGTCAGCGTATAACTAAGTAAAAGTAGCATGTCAGAACTCAGGGGCAGACTGTTGTTAGTCCAGTGAGTTGCTTTGCTTAGTTTCGTGGACTCAGAATGTATTGACTTATTGATATACATTACCACAGTCACCCAAAATATTGAATTTATAAGCACATACGTGATCGAGACAGCCTGCTGTTAGATGATGCTAGTACATTTTCAATGTGAAGGAATATTTTTAATCAAATCAAATATAAAAATGTGAGGAACTCCGGGAAATTGTTCAGTGTTATTAAGTTGACAATGTTTAATGCTAGCTCCCTTTGTCATAAGCTTTTTGTGATTAGTGCATTAAAATCGTGCTCATTAAATGTTCACGACATGCTTTCAAGTGTCTTTTCTGTGCTTGCTTTGGAAAGAAATTGTTTCACTAGATTAACCAGAATCACATTATATATAAAATATAATTTTATTTCATTGAATTCAGTAGGGACAACTTGGCTAGCCAAAATAATATAAAGAGCCTTATTCTGAACTTCTCCTGAAGATAGCAAAAATGCAAAATGGAG